GGATCGATTGCCACATTAATCTAAATCTAGGTTGCACTTTAAAAGAACAGTTCATGCCCCAAATTAAATGTACACATGTCCCCTCTGGCCTTCAGTGATGTTTATCCATCTCATTTATTTTGGTGTAGGTTGCCCAGTTTTGGAGATATCAGCTGTAGAGATATCTGCCTTAGCCTTTAATATAAATGTACTAAATGGCACTGGCCTTGTGATGCTCAAGGGCTAAAAACATGCATTTGAAAATCTGTGCTTCTGTGCCTCTTTTAAAAAAACATCCTAGTTAAGTGTAGTTTAGAATATGCTGTGTAAAAACAGGGAGGTGTAATATGCTAAAGCTTAAGCTTACACCTCTTTTTGGCAATAATTTGTAGTCTTGCCATTTAATTCAGTTCTTCGCTGTCATTTATTTACATTTATGGGCATTTTATTTGTTGTCGCTGCTCGTCTGAAATATTTTCTACATACCAGAGGAAGTGGACAGCTGGCTAAGGTGAGGGGGGCCGCCATTAATATTTATATCCTGTCTCGCACATGCACGACCCTCTCGTCGCAGGTAGATGGAAGATTCAGTCTGCTTGGTGGGTGTAGATCTGTAGAAACATACATAAAACCAAACAGAACGAGGTTTGTGGATTTGTTTTTTAATACCGGGGACCTTAGAGACATTACAGCTGAGTTTTTCATTTTTATTTTGTAATTTTTTCATTTTCCATGCTTTGAGCAGCACAATGCGAGTGCCATTTAGTTCCATTATATTGAAAAAAGGCAGGTATCTAGTTCAGCAGACGGAAAATAGTAGGTTTGTGGACTGTTTTGAGTAACGGGGTCGTGCTTTCTGGAAAAAGACATTAGTGCTGCGTTTTCCCGTTTTTATTATTATTAGTTGTAGTAGCATTATTAGTAATAGTAGCAGCACTTTGAGCACCACAAGCCAAGAGCCAGTAGCTTCATTACAATAAAAAAGAATAGACATCTACACCAGCATCTGCAAAACTGAGCAAGTCCCGCCAAAATAAAAGAGATGCACAAACAGCACTAACAGAGGGGAAACATTTAAATGTAAAATTTTGATGGTAAATGATCTTTTTACCCCTTAAAATGAATTTCTCTTAAACTATTTATTTGTTGGAGGCTGTTGCGCAGCACAAAACGATTCAGCGTGTCTATTTCTTTTACAGATGACAGAAAACGCAATAAAGTGCCGTTTTATTGGGTGCACATTCTCGCAACA